ATATACTGGTAATTAATTAGGCATATCCCTCATTAGGCCTAGCCCGGATTTAGGCCTAGCCCCTGTGTGGGACATACCAGAAGGAGTGGTTCGATATTTCCCAACTTCGAACTTGAACATAGTTTGGAATAAATAATAATGTAGGCAAAGTTTGGATGAAATCAAAAATTTCTGAATTTTTTTTTGCCATAAGGCTGAGGGTATAAATATTCCTTAACAATTGCTGAAATTATGGTTTACATAATCAGTTTATAGAAAGGTCACTCATTTCAAGTACCTGACAGTATATCTATGGTGGAGGGTATGCAAAGTTCGGCCCGGCCGAACTTAACGCTTTTTTACTTATTATGTATTACGATCTTCTATGGAATATCGTAATTAAACTTGATTTATAGCCAAACTACCAAATAAGGAGGGGTTCGTTTATGTGGAGATTTCCCCGAAACCGTAGTCAATATTGATAATTTTGTTACGAAGGTTTCCCAACCAATGAGAATTCAAAATACTAAATAACAGTCGATAGTGGATTACAGTCAATAGTGGAGCAAAATTTATAATTTTTGGTAAGAATAATTTGGTTGAAGGTGAGACTAATGATTATCATCAACATACCCTGTTAGTAAAAGTAGTCAATTGTACTATTTTTTTTATTAAATTGTTAAAGGCGATTTTCAACGTCTATTTTTATATTATCGACAATAACTCTTAAGTTTATGAACGGTCGCAGACGTTCGCAAAATTCTGGACAGAGAACATATCAAGGCGTCGATTGGTGCTATAACCATTAAAAATATCCTCTGGCACCGCTTGGCACTAGGGTCAGAAAACTCATGTTTTTGGAAAGATTTATATTTTTAATTTTTTTCGCATATAATTTTTTTTCTGATCTTCAAATTACTGAAAAATGTTCACTTTTATTTTAATCAACAAGTAAATATGTTGACGCATGTCAATGTTATATTATAGTATTTTTTTTTCAAATATAAATTATATTCTTAAACATATGAAATTTTGACTTTGACCTCATGTCAGTTGTAAACCGTGATTCAGAAGGGTATAGAATTTTACTGGTGTTAAGCTCATAGTGCCCAGATTTCAAACATATAACGTTTTTTCCTGAAATGGACTCTTTGCATTCCTGGCCCATAGTGCAATCGGACAAATCGTGGGAGTTTGGTGCGCCATTTTCATAAAATTGGACGAAAATATATATTTGGGAGCTAAATCAAAATATTATCCCATTTCAAGATAACCTTAAATATGGCAATTTGTACTTAATTCAGTACTTTGTGCAAAATGTTGTATCATTTTGACAAACCTTTGGAGTTTGGTTCAGCATTTACATAAAATTCGACGAATTGATCTATATGTATATCTGAGCAATTTAACACACGTATATACGATCATGCCTAAATCGATTCAGAAAGTGATTGTATGCATTTTCTCAAAACTAACCATTGGTCTATCCATTTTCCTTTCGTATTTTGCAAACATATGTCCAAAGGCATAATAAAAATATATGGAGGGTATATTAATTTTGTTTTTCCGTTTGCAACTCATCGAAATATTCATTTCCGACCCTATAAAGTGTATATATTCTTGATCACCGTCTGTCTCCTGTAATCACTCTAGCGTCTAAGCGAATTGAGATAGATCGCCAAAATTTTGCATAGAGTCTTTTATCTGGAGGCAGGTCAAGTTCGAAGATGGGCTTTATCGGTCCACGTTTAGGCATAGCTCCCATATAATATAAGGGTACCCCCCAATTTTCGGTATTGTGAGGTTCTTGAGCGAGTTTTCAACTGAATTCGCTGAAATTTGGTACCTTGAGTTCTTATTGGGTAACAAATTTCCCCACTAAAAATTATTAATATAGGTCACCTTTTTCTGGTAGCCCCCATATAAGGGTGCCTCCCAATTTCCAGTTTTTGGGGGGTTTTGACCGGATTTTTTCACCGAATTGGTTGTATTTTAGTAATTTGAGTTCTTATTGAGTAGCAAATCTCTTCACAAAAAATTATAAATATAAGTAAATTTTTTCGGGTAGCCCCCAATTTTCGATATATCGAGGTTCTTGAGCGCGTTTTTCAATCGAATTTGCTGCAATTTGTTATTTTGTAGTCGTATATGGTAACAAGTCTCCCCACCAAAAATTATTAATATTCACCCCTTTTTAGGGATAGTCCCCATATAACCCACTTTCTTAAATTAAAATAGTTATCTGATTTGTTCCGTGTGTTGCGGTTGGGTAGTCGTTACGGTGAATAGTCAATTTTTACCATACAAAGACTTTTTAGCCATCCGTTGTAAGCATTCCGCCTTCTAAAGATATTATGATAAAAAACTCAAACATGACGATAATGAAATATATCGGCAGACATTTAGGCACCTCATCCTCCTGAAGTAAAGACAATTAAAAACAAAATAATTAAAATATTGGGTTCAAAATTGGCATATACTGGTAATTAATTAGGCATATCCCTCATTAGGCCTAGCCCGGATTTAGGCCTAGCCCCTGTGTGGGACATACCAGAAGGAGTGGTTCGATATTTCCCAACTTCGAACTTGAACATAGTTTGGAATAAATAATAATGTAGGCAAAGTTTGGATGAAATCAAAAATTTCTGAATTTTTTTTTGCCATAAGGCTGAGGGTATAAATATTCCTTAACAATTGCTGAAATTATGGTTTACATAATCAGTTTATAGAAAGGTCACTCATTTCAAGTACCTGACAGTATATCTATGGTGGAGGGTATGCAAAGTTCGGCCCGGCCGAACTTAACGCTTTTTTACTTATTATGTATTACGATCTTCTATGGAATATCGTAATTAAACTTGATTTATAGCCAAACTACCAAATAAGGAGGGGTTCGTTTATGTGGAGATTTCCCCGAAACCGTAGTCAATATTGATAATTTTGTTACGAAGGTTTCCCAACCAATGAGAATTCAAAATACTAAATAACAGTCGATAGTGGATTACAGTCAATAGTGGAGCAAAATTTATAATTTTTGGTAAGAATAATTTGGTTGAAGGTGAGACTAATGATTATCATCAACATACCCTGTTAGTAAAAGTAGTCAATTGTACTATTTTTTTTATTAAATTGTTAAAGGCGATTTTCAACGTCTATTTTTATATTATCGACAATAACTCTTAAGTTTATGAACGGTCGCAGACGTTCGCAAAATTCTGGACAGAGAACATATCAAGGCGTCGATTGGTGCTATAACCATTAAAAATATCCTCTGGCACCGCTTGGCACTAGGGTCAGAAAACTCATGTTTTTGGAAAGATTTATATTTTTAATTTTTTTCGCATATAATTTTTTTTCTGATCTTCAAATTACTGAAAAATGTTCACTTTTATTTTAATCAACAAGTAAATATGTTGACGCATGTCAATGTTATATTATAGTATTTTTTTTCAAATATAAATTATATTCTTAAACATATGAAATTTTGACTTTGACCTCATGTCAGTTGTAAACCGTGATTCAGAAGGGTATAGAATTTTACTGGTGTTAAGCTCATAGTGCCCAGATTTCAAACATATAACGTTTTTTCCTGAAATGGACTCTTTGCATTCCTGGCCCATAGTGCAATCGGACAAATCGTGGGAGTTTGGTGCGCCATTTTCATAAAATTGGACGAAAATATATATTTGGGAGCTAAATCAAAATATTATCCCATTTCAAGATAACCTTAAATATGGCAATTTGTACTTAATTCAGTACTTTGTGCAAAATGTTGTATCATTTTGACAAACCTTTGGAGTTTGGTTCAGCATTTACATAAAATTCGACGAATTGATCTATATGTATATCTGAGCAATTTAACACACGTATATACGATCATGCCTAAATCGATTCAGAAAGTGATTGTATGCATTTTCTCAAAACTAACCATTGGTCTATCCATTTTCCTTTCGTATTTTGCAAACATATGTCCAAAGGCATAATAAAAATATATGGACAGGCAGAAGGGCTTGAATAAATAGACTCACGTTAAAAACAAGTCCACAAAGGCATAATAACCGTTACGCACCGTGATATATATTTTTTTTAATTTACTATTAAAAGTGATCTATGTTGGTGAAAAACAAAAGACTTAAGACACGAACCCGATAATTTCTTCATCACACGAAATAATGATATAAACAAAACAAAAATTATTAATATGGCATTATACTCGCATATTTAATTGTTTGTATTCAATATTTTTCCTTATATAGCCTAGCATATTTTTAATTAATACCAAAAATTTCAACAATTTATTACCATTTACAATTCTATCGTTTAGCTAAACATCCAAATATAACTAATTAGTAAAATGGCCGACAGTGTAACATTTCGTGTTGGAGATTAAACAGATAACTTAATGTTGTTGACATACTCTGAAATTTATGTTCAATCATGATGGTGGTAAAGACTTTCGTTTTCTTCTTCTTCGTTTTTGGGTTACCTTCACTTTAACCAGCCCAATGATTGTACAATGTATGACTGTATGTGTGTGGTGCTATGTTAAATTGCCCTGTTGCCCGATTTTTATGGTGTGCGTCTGTCTCTATGTATTCGGGTGATGATGATGACGTCTTGCAATGTATGCTTTGTTATCTCTCCCGTAATGCCATTATTACATCTATTTTGACTTTGGTTTTATTGCCCAAATTTTTTGGCAGTATAAAAGTTGCGGTCACTTTGCATTGGGCAGTTAGTTATCGGAATTCACTTCCCAACTAAACTGTTTGGTTAACTTCGTCTACAGAGATTGTGGTGAAACGTATTTAAGCTTAACGGACAACAAAATGAAGGTAAGTTGGACATGAAGAAGCTCAAATTGAGGAGTAGTGTTTATCATGTCTCCGCATCTTCATTTCAGGTCTTTGTGTGTGTTTTGGCAATGGTAGCAGCTGCTCAAGCTGGCATTTTGGGCATTGGTGGAGGCAGTTCCGGTGGCCATGGAGGCAGTTATAGTAGTGGTGGTAGTGGCTACAGCTATGGAGTAGGAGGTGGCCATGGAGGTAGTGGTGGCTTTGGCGGTGGCAGCGGCTACTCATCTGCCGGCAGTGTTGTAAAAGTCATTCACGAAGGTGGTAGCGATCATGGTGGTTACGATGCTGGCTTCAGCGGAGGTCATGGTGGCGGATTTGATGCTGGTTTCAGTGGTGGCTATAGTGGAGGTTTTGACGGAGGCTTGGATGGAGGATATGCTGGTGGTCATGGAGCTGGTGCCGGTGCTGCTGCTGATGTTAAAATTGTCAAAGTAATTTCTCAGGGTTCCGCTGGCGGTCATGGAGGTAGTTTTGCTGGCGGCCATGGTGGCAGCTTTGCTGGTGGTCACGGTGGATACTCTGGCGGCTTTTCTTCCGGTGGTCACTCCTCTGGCGGTGTCAAAATCATTAAAGTTATCCATGAAAATGGTGGTATTGCTGGTGGCCACGATGCCGGTTTCTCTGCTGGTCATGGCGGTAGCTTCTCTGGTGGCTACTCCGGTGGTTATTCTGGCGGTTACTCCAGTGGCCATTCCAGCGGTGGTGATGTTAAAATTGTGAAAGTTATTAGCCAAGGCGGTGCTGGTGGTTATTCTGGTGGTGCCAGCAGTTACTCAGGTGCCAGCAGCTATGCTGGTGGTTATGGTTCTGGTGGCTGGTCCTCCGCTCCCAGCCATGGTTGGTAATTGTCTTCGCCGCCAGTAAACATGAAGTATTAGTCACACTCTTCTATCAATTTTCCTGTTGTAATATATTTCTTCATCTTCCTGAATACTGGCCATCCCATGAGCATACCATTGTCATCTATGTCGATACACACTCAAGAAATAGTCTGGTATATTTTGACCAGATATTTTGTTGTTTTAGTTTTAAGCCTTAATTAGTAGACGTTGTTAATGTTGTTATTCATTTTTTATTGTTGACCAAAAAAATAAAAATTAAAAAAAATGTATTTGTGTGTGTTATAAATTGTTACACGCTAAATCCATCATCTGGATGTAAATGATCGGTTTTAAGCTGTTATGAAATAGCTCAAGTGTCATGGATTAGTCTGACTCTGTTGTATATAAATTCAATTCCGACCACAAGCATGAATCAGCAAAAGTTATGTAATGAAATACGTACGACTTTTTAAAATATTATAATGTGTAAAGAAACAAGAATTGAAAATATAGGACGGCTACACATATTTTTGGCATTGGGCAAATTAATTGTAGATATATTTACACTGTGGTTCAGAATAATATGGTTTTGTGTATTCGTACTAAAAGAAATAAAACTATACATGGATAAAAATTCTGAGTCTATTTATGTAGTAAACAAATTGCAGGACGTAATAATGATCCAAATGAACTGAAATTTCGACTTTGCGTCATTTATTTTGCCAAGGGCGAAATTTGTTTTCATAGATTCCCATATATGTTTTCGTCTGATTTCACTATATTTTGGCAAAGTCCCAATGTATGATCAATTAACACGAATTTTTGAACCACAATGACGTATATTAAATATTATCGAAATCGGGTCAGATTAAGATAAAGCTTCCATATATATTTTCGTCCGATTTTTGTAAATTGTGTACCAAACATTGAAATTTGTCGGCTTGAGACAAAATCGTGCTTTTGGTATTAATATGGTTAAAGTTAGTTATTTATATGGTTAAAAATGCATTTTCCAAACGAAATGGTTGTAATTCGTCATTTTAGGTAGTGAATTTTGACAGCCAATAAGAATACAAATTACAGCCAATTCGATTGAAAAATGTGTCCAAAATTTCTAAAATACCGACTTGTGTAAATATTAGTCACCACACTGTGGTACAGGGTATTATGACTTTGTGCATATGTTAGTAACAGGCAAAAGGACACGAGATAGGTACATGGTTCCTTTTGAGAATATGCATAGAATCACTTTCTGAGTTGATCTATGCATTTCCGTCTGTCAATGTTAAATTGGATATAATTTATGATCCGAATTGAATGAAATTTGGTACAGCTTATTTATTTGGCCCAAGGACGAACCCTATTGAAATAACTCCCATATATATTTTCGTCCGATTTTATGTAAATTGTGCACCAAAGTCCCTATATATCTTTGGACTTGCACGAAATTTGGCATAGCGTACTGAATTGAGTCTAAAATGATGTGCGCTAAGTTAAGTGAAAATCGGTTAAGATTTAGAGATAACTCCCATATATAGATTTTCGTCCGATTTTATGTAAATGGTGTATCTAAGACCTAGTATATTTTTGGATTTTCACAAAATTTGGCATAGCGTACTGAATTGAGTGCAGAATGATGTGTGCAAAATTTCGTGAAAATCGGTTCAGATTTAAATATAGCTCCCATATATAATTTCGTCCGATTTTATGTAAATGGTGTACCGAAACCTCTATATATCCTTCGATATGAACGAAATTTGGCACGAAAAGTACGAAAATGTACTAAATTTGGTACAATTCTGTAGCATGTGAACGGATAGCGTTAAAAACTTGAAATTTGGAGTGTGAATTAAGGTTGAGAAGTAGGGTCCATTTAAGGAGATGGTTTTTTAAAGCGTGTACTCATGTGTACGAAAAGTACTATATGGCACTATTTGATTTGGAGGTACAAATCGAGCTGGAATCCTGAAAATTGAAATTAACATTACCGTCGGAGTGTAGGATTGGGATATGTACGTAGTTTTGGAATTTTTTACTTAATTGTACAAAAAGTACTAAATCGTACTATAATTGGTACAATTTGGATTTGGGTGAACCGATAGAGCTGGAACAATGAAGTTTGGAGTTAGGATCATTGTAAGGATGTAGGATTAGGATCAGGATTCAGTTTAAGAAAATAATACTTATGGGTACTAAATGGTACTAAATTTGGTACAATTTGAATTTTAGGTGAACCAATAGAGCTAGAATCATGAAATTTGGAGTCAGGATCATTGTTGAGGAGTAAGATTCAGATATGTAGGAAGTTTTAGAAATGTGTACTAAATTTGGTACAATTTAAATTGTGGGTGAACCGATAAATTTGAAATCATGAAATTTTGATTTAGGATCACTGTGGATGTGTAGGGTTGGGGTATGTAGGAAGTTTTAGAAATTTGTACTAAGTGTACCAAATTCTGTACAATTTAAATTGTGGGTGAAGCGATAAAGTTTGAATCCTGAAATTTTGATTCAGGATCACTGTGGAGGTGTATGTAGGAAGATTTGGAAATTGGTATACTAACTTTGGTACAATTTGAATTGTGGGTGAACCGATAGAGTTGGAATCCTGAAACATGGATTTAGGATTACTGTGGAGGTGTAGAATTGGGGTATGTAGGAAGTTTTGGAAATTGGTACTACTGTGCATTAAATTTGGTACAATTTGAATTGTGGGTCAATCGATAAAGTTGGAACCCTGAAACTTGGATTTAAGATGACTGTGGAGTTGTAGGAATGGGGTATGTAGGAAGTTTTGGACATTGGACAACTATGTTTTAAATTTGCTACAATTTGAATTGCGAGTGAACCAATAGATTTGGAATCCTGAATCTTGGATTTAGGATCACTGTAGGAGTGTATGTTTGTGTTAAGTAGGAAGGTTTGGAACTACTGTGTACTAAATTTGATACTATTAGGATTATAATTAAGATTTTATCTAATTCATGTTTTCAATTGGATTTCATGATGTAGGTAGTAATGGAAATTTTTACAAATTGGATTTAGGTGAACCGATAAAATCCTTAAATTTGGAATTAAGATTGGGGTATGTGCGAAGTGTTGGAAATTCGTACTTATGATTGCTAAAGTAGGTAGTTATGGAAATTTATATTAATGTGCACTAACTGATTTGGGTGAAGCTATATTAGATTTTTTTTTAAATAAGTATTACAAGAGTACAAATGGTAAAAAATTACACCAAATTTAGTATAGAGGTAAATTTCTTTGCGGTCGGAATGGGTGTGTAGGTTTGAGATACAGAGTTAGATTTGAGAACATACTATGGGAGAACATTCGTACTAAATGGTTCTAAAATTTTAATAATGGTCGATATAGGGTTTTAAATACATCCCACATTCGCTAACGAAGTAGCGGGTATATGCTAGTTAAGTTATAAAACGAGCCCAAGAACCCCAAAATATCGAAAACTGGGGGTACCCTTTATAGGGGGCTACCCGAAAAAATAGACCTATATTTATAATTTTTATTAGGAAGATTTGCTACCCAATAAGAACTCAAAGCACCAAATTTCAGCGAATTCGGTCGAAAAATGCGATAAAAACACCCAAAATACCGCAAAATTGGAGGTACCCTTATATGGGAGCTATCCGAAAATATGGACCCATATTTATAATTTTTAATGGAGAGATTTGCTACCCTATAAGAACTTAAAGTTCCAAATTTCAGCGAATTCAGTTAAAAAACGCGCTAAAGAACCAAAAATTGGGGGGTACACTTATATGGGAGCTATGCCTAAACGTGGACCGATTTTCTCAATAGGGTTCTCGTTGGGCCAATTAAGTGGCCTGTGCCAAATTTCATCCAGATCGGATCATAAAGACGGACATGCATAAATCGATTCAGAAAGTGATTCTATGCTTATTCTCAAAAGGAACCATGAGTCTATCTCGATTATTTTTGCCTGTTACAAACATATGCACAAAGACATAATACCCTGTACCACAGTGTGGTGAAGGGTATAAATATATGTTAAAACATAAGCAATATTGAAACCTTTCTGAAAAAAAATTTTCTTATAAGCAAGGAATCCCGAATATTTTCTTTCTCTTGCAGGAAATAGGATGGGACATTTCTATATTTTTTAATTCATGTCCATTTATATCGCTAACAATGACAATTTGTAGTCTAAGCGAAACATTTTGTTTTTAATGAAATGCATGAAATGTGATATGTTTAACATTATTTGAGGCTATACCATATATGTTAATTGGTTGTTGATAGATCAACACACCTTTTGACAAAATCTATGAATGAATGGGTTGAATATTATATTCATTTCTCTTGTTGCAAACAAATTTGCTTAATAATCAGGGCGAAATATTGCAATTCCGCTTTTGTTTATTCCCTAATCTCCGTATAACGATCAGACGGAATTAAATAATGCCCTCTTTTTGGCAGTATAAAGTTATGAACTTTTTGATTTGATGAATGTATATCAATCAAATTTTTAAGTTTTTGCAATTTAAATCGGTTTGGATTCGTAACAACTAACACCTCGTAAAATGAAGGTAAATTGTACATTTTTCGTTTTATATCTTGAAGTATTTTTAATTATTTTTTTCTGTCTGTGATCTTGATAGCAATGGGCAAATATAGTGCTCTTTATGGCCGTAGTGCATGTAACGATATTGGAAGTAAGCGGTAGCGGCGAACAAAGTTACATATACAGCAATGGTGGTTTTAGTTCAGTAGGCAGCAGTTACACGCTAATGGAAGACCAGCTTGGAAATTATTTTTATAGTTCTGCACCAAATGGATTTGTTGGCAGCCATCCAGGAGGACATGCAAACATTGGAATCAATTATTTTAATTTAAACCATGATATATACAATGGACTAGGGGCTCAGCACATTCGAAGTCATCCAGGTGGCTTTGAAACTATTCCTTCTTTATATCAAGGTTCAGGAGATGTGAAAATATTTAAAGTTATTTCTGGTAGAAATCCAGCAATATATACGAACCAT